GCCAGGGGGGAGGCAGTCGGGAAGGTACACGGGGCTTGGGGCCGATGAAGAGTTCAGGAGGGCTGGGGGTGTGGGGTGGGCGGGGTGCACCCTCTCGCAGGACCTTTTCGAGGTAAACCCAAGCAGTGGGTGGCAAAGCGTCCTTCACCTCCTGAAGTACGCGCCGGGGAGTACGTAGGGTGGAGAGCCCCATGCGCTGGGCGAGCGCCCGAGGACCCCCCCAGTCTCCCCGGCGGTAGTCCAGGAGGTCTCCGACTCTGGTGGATCAGCAGCACAATGCAGCCCTCTTCAACCCCTTGGCATGGCGCTAATCCAGAGCAGAGCGCTGGGAGGCCCGGAGGACGCAGCCGGGGGGATCGCTGTGTTGCAGATGAATGGCAGCTGCTCTCCCTGCTGGGTTCTGGAGGGTCGTTCCAAAGATCCTTCAGTAGCTCCCTGTGCGGCCTGTGGCAGGGTTAGCTCTTTGGTTCTCTCGGGTTTTCCACAAGCCCAGGGGCCGGGCCCCAGCTTCCCACGTGCGCCAGTGGGGCCCGGCTGAGCGCGCTGCCTGCTGTCGCCTCGCAGGGACGGCGACTCCTACGAGATCCTGCAGCTGGACTTCGAGATGGAGAATTTCACCAGCCAGTCGGTGACGCGGCGCATCATGTGGCACATCGACTACCGGGGCCGCAACCCACCGCCCGACCTGGAGAAGGTGGTGACGGAGCTAACGGTGATCCAGCGGGACATCCGCGCCATTGTGCCCCTGGCCATGGTGAGTGGGCGCGGACGGGTCCCCAGGGGTTCCAGCTATCCCTGTGTTCTCACTGCACGGGCTCGCCCCCTGCACGTCTGCACACGCCCCCACGGCCCACGAACCACGCACACGCACTCTCACCCCTGCATGCCTGCACACGGCCCACGAACCACGCACACGCACTCTCACCCCTGCACGCCTGCACACGGCCCACGAACCACGCACACGCACTCTCACCCCTGCACGCCTGCACACGGCCCACGAACCACGCACACGCACTCTCACCCCTGCACGCCTGCACACGGCCCACGAACCACGCACACGCACTCTCACCCCTGCACGCCTGCACACGGCCCACGAACCACGCACACGCACTCTCACCCCTGCACGCCTGCACACGGCCCACGAACCACGCACACGCACTCTCACCCCTGCACGCCTGCACACGGCCCACGAACCACGCACACGCACTCTCACCCCTGCACGCCTGCACACGGCCCACGAACCACGCACACGCACTCTCACCCCTGCACGCCTGCACACGGCCCACGAACCACGCACACGCACTCTCACCCCTGCACGCCTGCACACGGCCCACGAACCACGCACACGCACTCTCACCCCTGCACGCCTGCACACGGCCCACGAACCACGCACACGCACTCTCACCCCTGCACGCCTGCACACGGCCCACGAACCACGCACACGCACTCTCACCCCTGCACGCCTGCACACGGCCCACGAACCACGCACACGCACTCTCACCCCTGCACGCCTGCACACGGCCCACGAACCACGCACACGCACTCTCACCCCTGCACGCCTGCACACGGCCCACGAACCACGCACACGCACTCTCACCCCTGCACGCCTGCACACGGCCCACGAACCACGCACACGCACTCTCACCCCTGCACGCCTGCACACGGCCCACGAACCACGCACACGCACTCTCACCCCTGCACGCCTGCACACGGCCCACGAACCACGCACACGCACTCTCACCCCTGCACGCCTGCACACGGCCCACGAACCACGCACACGCACTCTCACCCCTGCACGCCTGCACACGGCCCACGAACCACGCACACGCACTCTCACCCCTGCACGCCTGCACACGGCCCACGAACCACGCACACGCACTCTCACCCCTGCACGCCTGCACACGGCCCACGAACCACGCACACGCACTCTCACCCCTGCACGCCTGCACACGGCCCACGAACCACGCACACGCACTCTCACCCCTGCACGCCTGCACACGGCCCACGAACCACGCACACGCACTCTCACCCCTGCACGCCTGCACACGGCCCACGAACCACGCACACGCACTCTCACCCCTGCACACGCCCCCCACGGCCTGCAGACCATGCACGCATGCACACTCTTATCCCCGCACACCTGCACATGCCCCCCCATGGCCCACAAACCACACACACATGCACTCTCACCCCCGCACGCCTGCACATGCCCCCCACGGCCCACACACGCATTTGCACTCTCACCAGGGGACACACACAGAGCGAACCCTGCGCCGTGTCGCATGCCCCATAACACCCTCCACAGCCCTGGCCCTGAGTTTGCCTGGGGTGAGTCCCCGCCCTGGGCTGGGGCAGGCACCCAAGGGAGGTCTGTTTCCATGTGGTGGGGAATTGGGGGGAGCTCAGAGAAGCTGGCTCAGGGTTAGGGACCCACCAGGGCTGGGGGCAGGGCGGCAGGAGATGGAACCTAGAAGGCTGTTCTGCCGGGACTGTAGCCCTCCGGAGCTGGGGCTTGTACAGGGGCCACATGGCGCACACACGCTGACCCAGCTCTTAGCCACCCCGTCAGCAAACCCGCGTGAGCGCGGCACACCTGGCTGGGCCCATCTGGGTGTCTTCTGTTGGCCTCGTATTTGAGGGGGAAACTGAGGCACAGAGCTGCCGTGATTCTGCCAAGCTCGCACACTAGGCCCCAGCAGCAGGGCTGGGAGTAGAGCCAGGAGTTCCCGGCTGTGGCTCCTCAGTCACATTCTCACACTGGACCAAGAGTGGGACCCAGGAGTCCTGACACCCAGTCTGAACCCCCCAGACAACTCTCCCTCCCAGCATTAAAAAGGGAGGGCACTCGGATCCCATTTTCACCAGCAGCCCCACTGGAGTGACTCCAGATTGTCACTGAGGATATGTCTAGACTACATACCTCTGCCGACAGGCATGTAAACCAGGCTACCCGACATAGTCAAAGAAGCTGGGATTTAAATATCCCCGGCTTCATTAAAATAAAAATGGCCACCACGCTGTGCCGACGATCAGCTGAGCCGGCACAACGCGGTGGCCATTTTTATTTTAATGAAGCCGGGGATATTTAAATCCCCACTTCATTGACTATGTCGGGTAGCCGAGTACAAATGCTTACTCAGCAACTGAATAGCCCCCGGCCCGAGCTCAAGTCAGCTGGGTGGGCCAGCCACGGGTCTGCCACTGCAGTGTAAACGTAGCCTCAGTGCCCCCAAGGGTCGGGAAAGTCGGGTGTGATGAACGGAATCACCCGAACCCTGGTGTCTGGGGAACTCAGCAATGGGGCAGGGGCTTTCCTGGCGCTTTAGACCTTGGTTCAAGAGGGTCTGTGTGCAGGGGGCTGAGCCGGAGCCCAGAGACCTCCCCCCCGGGAGACCCCTCCCGCAGGACGAGAGCGAGCCAGTATTCCCTCCATCAGAAACAATCCCATCGCACGCTGCCAGGAAGGCAGATTAGACTCCCGGCCATTTCATTTACTTGAAAGGTTACTTGGCTGGCAGGCGTCCATCGCCAAGACCCGGCTGCGCAGCCCATTTACCTTGGGGATCGGTTTTCCACGTTTGCATAATTAACCAGCTTGCAATTAGACGCGCCCCCCAGACGCAGCGCTCTCGCTCTTTGGAGTTTGTAAGAGATGGCGGGTCTCCAGGGGTGGCAGAGCCAGGGGCCCGAGAAGGCATCGCGCGCCCAATGGCCATGGGCAGGCAGGGCTGGCCTCTGACATGAGATCAAAGGGGGCACAGACCCCAGCGCTGCGCCGGGTATCCGGAGCAGGGCTGATGCCCAGAAGAGAGCGCCCCCTGCTGAGTCGCCCACTCTGCGATGCACAGCGCCGGGGGGAGAGCGGCCTCTGCTGAGTCACCCACTCTGCGATGCACAGCGCTGGGGGGAGAGCGCCCCCTGCTGAGGCGCCCACTCTGCAATGCACAGCGCCGGGGGAGAGCGCCCCCTGCTGAGGCGCCCACTCTGCAATGCACAGCGCCGGGGGAGAGCGCCCCCTGCTGAGGCGCCCACTCTGCAATGCACAGCGCCGGGGGAGAGCGCCCCCTGCTGAGGCGCCCACTCTGCAATGCACAGCGCCGGGGGAGAGCGCCCCCTGCTGAGGCGCCCACTCTGCAATGCACAGCGCCGGGGGAGAGCGCCCCCTGCTGAGGCGCCCACTCTGCAATGCACAGCGCCGGGGGAGAGCGCCCCCTGCTGAGGCGCCCACTCTGCAATGCACAGCGCCGGGGGAGAGCGCCCCCTGCTGAGGCGCCCACTCTGCAATGCACAGCGCCGGGGGAGAGCGCCCCCTGCTGAGGCGCCCACTCTGCAATGCACAGCGCCGGGGGAGAGCGCCCCCTGCTGAGGCGCCCACTCTGCAATGCACAGCGCCGGGGGAGAGCGCCCCCTGCTGAGGCGCCCACTCTGCAATGCACAGCGCCGGGGGAGAGCGCCCCCTGCTGAGGCGCCCACTCTGCAATGCACAGCGCCGGGGGAGAGCGCCCCCTGCTGAGGCGCCCACTCTGCAATGCACAGCGCCGGGGGAGAGCGCCCCCTGCTGAGGCGCCCACTCTGCAATGCACAGCGCCGGGGGAGAGCGCCCCCTGCTGAGGCGCCCACTCTGCAATGCACAGCGCCGGGGGAGAGCGCCCCCTGCTGAGGCGCCCACTCTGCAATGCACAGCGCCGGGGGAGAGCGCCCCCTGCTGAGGCGCCCACTCTGCAATGCACAGCGCCGGGGGAGAGCGCCCCCTGCTGAGGCGCCCACTCTGCAATGCACAGCGCCGGGGGAGAGCGCCCCCTGCTGAGGCGCCCACTCTGCAATGCACAGCGCCGGGGGAGAGCGCCCCCTGCTGAGGCGCCCACTCTGCAATGCACAGCGCCGGGGGAGAGCGCCCCCTGCTGAGGCGCCCACTCTGCAATGCACAGCGCCGGGGGAGAGCGCCCCCTGCTGAGGCGCCCACTCTGCAATGCACAGCGCCGGGGGAGAGCGCCCCCTGCTGAGGCGCCCACTCTGCAATGCACAGCGCCGGGGGAGAGCGCCCCCTGCTGAGGCGCCCACTCTGCAATGCACAGCGCCGGGGGAGAGCGCCCCCTGCTGAGGCGCCCACTCTGCAATGCACAGCGCCGGGGGAGAGCGCCCCCTGCTGAGGCGCCCACTCTGCAATGCACAGCGCCGGGGGAGAGCGCCCCCTGCTGAGGCGCCCACTCTGCAATGCACAGCGCCGGGGGAGAGCGCCCCCTGCTGAGGCGCCCACTCTGCAATGCACAGCGCCGGGGGAGAGCGCCCCCTGCTGAGGCGCCCACTCTGCAATGCACAGCGCCGGGGGAGAGCGCCCCCTGCTGAGTCACCCACTCTGCGATGCACCGCGCCCTGGGGAGAGCGCCCCCTGCTGAGTCCCCGGCACACGGCACGTACTCACAAGCACCCGTATTTGACTGCATGGGGCGCTCTGGGCTGGGCTGGGCAGGGGAGAGGAGAATGGGGCCGGGCACTAAAGCAGCGTCCCTTTGCCTTCCAGGACACGGAGATCATCAACACAGCCATGCTGACGGGCCGCACGGTGGCCATCCCCGTGAAGGTCATTGCCATCGAGACCTCCGGCGTCATCACGGACGTCTCGGCCATGGTTGAGTGCAAGTCCCACAACGAGGACATCATCAAGGTGGGGCTGGCGCGACCAGCTGGGCCGGGAGGGGGCTCGATTCCTGGAGCCAGGTGCCCTGTGGGGCTCTGCCCAGCCTGTGGGCATTGGCTCTGACCAATAGGCCATTCTCCCAGCCAGCCCCAGCCCTGCCCGAAGGCAGGAGCACTAGGCCAGGTTGAAAGGAACTGAAGGGCTCCCCTGACAATGGCCCATGCTGCTGAGCATGTGAACATCAGAGCAGCCAGATCGGGTCAGCCCAAAGGTCCATCCAGCCCAGTGGCCTGTCTGCCCACAGTGGCCAATGCCCAGTCCCCCAGAGGAAGAGAACAGAACAGGGAATCCTCAACCTCCCCTGTCATCCATTTCCAGCCCCTGACAGAGGCCAGGAACCCCATCCCTACCCATCCTGGCTAATAAGTATTGACAGACCATGAATTTATCTAGTTCTTTTCGAACCCTGTTAAAGTCCTTGTCCTCACACCGTCCTCTGGCAAGGAGTTCCACAGGTTGACTGTGCACTGTGTGAAGAAAAGTTTCTTTTGGTGTGTTTGGTTTGTTTCCTGCTGCCTGTTCATTTCATTTCTTGACCCCTGGTTCTTATGGAGCTAATAAGTAACTTTTCCTAATTCACTTTCTCTGCTCCCGGCATGATTTTAAAGACCTCTCGCATATCCCCTTTCATCTCTGCTTTTCTAAGCGGAGTTCTGAGAGTTCTGGCAGGGGTGGCAGGCCAGCCCGGAGCGTTCCTGCACAGTGCCAGCGCTCAGTGCGGCTGCTGCTGGGGGGCAGTGTGGAGCCGCGAGAGGGTCCGACCTGATCCATGCTCCTCTCCTGGGTACTTGATTTAAAGGCTTTGCAGGGGGACAGCGTCCCCGTCCCAGGGGAGGCGGCAGGAGTCCTCCAGCGTCTAGTGTACCGGCGGGCGGAAGCAGCTGTAACTACAGGTTACCCAGCCCGTTATTACCGCTAAGGCAAAATATTGTCACTTTGAAATGTAAACGGCAAGTTCTCATTAGCGGCTTCATTCCAGCTAGGATCAGCTGGGAGAGCGAGCCAGCTCCCGCTGATGCGCCGAATGGCCCCGCTTGCCCACCTCTTGTCTGTCTGTCCACCCCATACACACCCACCTGTCTGTCTGTCCACCCCATACACACCCATCTGTCTGTCTACACACACACACACACACACACACACCCGTCTGTCTGTCTGCCTGTCTGTCCCCCCCATACACACCCATCTGTCTGTCTACACACACACACACACACACCCCCGTCTGTCTGTCCACCCCATACACACCCACTTGTCTGTCTGTCTACACACACACACACACACACACACCCGTCTGTCT